TCTCTCAGTTGCCCGGGGGGGGGGGGACCCTTAAAGTGACCCTTTTTTCTCCAGCAAGTCACACAAGGATTCACTACACTGGTGCTGCAGTGAGCATACAGGTATCACTGAAAGGTACATGAATCAAAAGAACAGGAGTTCCACACTCAGAGAACAGCCATATTTCCAGTGTCTCCACACAGTCAATATAATGTCTATCCCAATCCAGTCACTTTGAATCAGCATGCAACAACTTTTGTCACATTAATCAGAGCGTGGAGGAAGGTGGGAGGGGTTCTTGTTTCTGAACAATTGGCTCCAGATTTGCCACCTCTCTGCTAGTCTCTAGTTTTGAGAAGTCAAGTGGATTTCATATTTCTTCCCCATGCTTGAAGGAACTCTTCTATATAGCTGTGTGCAAATAATCCCACAAATACTTCAGTACAAAACAGGATTAAGGCGTAAGTGTGTCCTAGGTCCATAGCTCGTAGAATCACACGAGGATGTCTGAATCTCAGCTTTCATGTTTTTTAAAGTTATGTTTCTACCTCCTATGGCTGAAAAGAAAAGTTTGAAATCATGATTCAAATTTAACTGATGGAATGTTCCATTAGCAGGAACTGCATGCAACTCTGCTTGGTTTTTTTAATTAAAATATTTTATAGGTAGCAAACAAAGTGATTTTTTGTAGTCAGCCTATTGGATTTTTACTATAGCAACATTCTGAAGTAGAAAAGGTCAAGAATCCAGTTTTACTGTATTTAACTTGGCTATACCATTATCAGGTCTGCACAGTTATTATGCTGTTCTGTTATTTAATTGGCTCAGTCTATTGCAAAATGAACTTTATGTTTAGAAACACCAGAAATTTTTAAACATTCCACAATTTTGGGTGAAAAGCTGAGAGATTTCTCTGAATTCCATCTTTGCTGGTTCTATACTGGGCATGGAGCCGGGTAAGCACCTCTCCCCCCCAATCTCCCTCATGCCCAGACCCTATACTCTCACCCCTCCTCCTGCATCCAACTTCCTACCCAGACTGCCCTACCATCGGCCTGTTCCTCCACCCTTCCTTCCACCCCTATACCCTCAGCTCACTCCTGCACCCTACTTCCCACTCCAACCACCCTCTATCCTCAGCCAGCTTCTACACCCTATCTCCCACCAGACCCCATACACTCAGCCCATTCCAGCACCCTACCTCCCACCCAGACCACCCTCCCAACTTCAGCCCACTCCTGCACCTTACCTTGCCCCGGATCCCATACCTCAGCCCACTCCTGCACCCTATCTCCCATCCACACCCCGCACCTATTTTGTCATCATGGGTGGCTGGCTGGTGGTCCATGGAAAGATCTGCATTAAGTGGGGTGGGCTGCGGGCCCAAGATGTTTTTGAGAACCACTGCTGTACAATAATAGGCTAAGGATGTAGTTCCTTCTTTCTTGTAGCACATTAGTAGGTTTTGAGTGTTGATCCGCAACAGGATACCTAAGTTAGTGAGTGCGCTGCATGAGTGGCCCTCCATCTCAGTTGGCTGCATGATTGTTGTAAATAAGACTGTCTCCTGGAATAGGGTACTTTTGCGAACTGCGCTTCCAAACCTAGAATGTGTGTGGATTGAATGGTAGCAGCACTGATTGGATGCGGAGGGAGTGCACAGCTCTTATAGTCAATGGTTGTGTGCAATCAGCACACATTTCACTTTGCATGCCCTTGTTTTATGTGCATGTCACATTATTAATACCATAGGGAAAAAATGCAGATGGAAACCAGCAGAATTTGATAATTCTATGTGGGCAACAGCAAACAAAATGTCTCGTGGGCCACGCATAGAACCCTGTTGGGCCACATGTGGCCTGTGGTCCACAGATTGTCCACTACTGGTGGAGATGATTTGCAATGCTGTGCATCCTATCTTCATTTCACTTTACCTCTGCCGACTCTTAATTTACAGCAATAACTATTTCCAAATCTACCACTGTGCACCCATCCACGGAGTGCTGCATCCAATCCTTAGTCTACTAAATTAATAACATACTTCCATTCTGTGTATAGACTGGAATGAAATGAGTGAGTATACTTTTAAAATCTCGAAGAAAATCTCAAGGGATTGTATGTGTAGCAGCAAGGAAAAGAGTAGATGGCACAATGATGCCTGAGACCGAAATTACGAATATTGCCATTAGGTCAGCAAAATATCAGAGAAAATATTTTATACCAGTCCACACTGGAATGTCATTCTTTGACAGCTGCTGCTCTCTGAAAGGCAAAAGGTTTTGACTCCTCTCCTTTGACTATAGTTGGGAGAGTGAGTGTTGTGCCCATTCTGTTTTATATCACTAAAAATTATTGCAATCAAATTCAAATATTTAAAATCAAACATGCATGAACAAATTGTTTCCCTACCCAATCTTCCAAGGTGTAGAATACTGTTAAGTAGACCTTCTGGATTACAGCTTCAAACAGGGTGTTCAAATGAAAAATAAATTAATGGTTTTGTTTTAACAGGTCTATATTTTATGCCTTTCATTCAACACACTGTTGCATCCATGTTAAACTAAAGGAAGGAAACTGCTCCAACATAAAACAGATAATTAACATTCTTGTTAAAATACAAATTCTGTCTATCCAGTCATAAGTCACTCCCCCCCCAGCGTTGGCTACTTTCCAAGCAGCAAGTATGCCAGATGCTGTCAAGAAACTCAACTTAGCAGGAATAAAAGAAATATGTTCAAAGGAAAATGTTAGTTTGCATGGCAAAAGATCTGGGATCTTTAACTGGGGAAAGCACAAAAATTAATGACTATCTTTGATGATTTATCTGCACAGTATCAATGATGAACTGATTTGATTTACTTACTTATAAAAAGCCTGGTTCTCCACCCCACACTTCCAAAGATGCTTGCAGGCTGCTGGTGTTGAGGTATGAAATGACAACACAGCCTTTTTCTACGTGTAGAAAAAAGAAATAAGAAAAACTGGATTTTTAAGACTGAAATATTCTTCCAGGAAACTGACAGAAAATTTCATCCACTAGAAACATTTAGGACCACATTTTCCAAAGTGACATCAATCCATACTTCATTGCAACCCATTTGCACTTGATTTTCCCTCTGTCTGTGAAGATGAATTTTGCAGGGGAAAAGGAGATGGTAGAGTGATTTGTTAACAAGAAATGGACTCAAGGTCATACCTGTTGTAGTTGTAAGTAAAGGAGAGTGGAATGTTATGCAAATGAAGCAACATCCTACTTTTTATATGTATTGAATATGCATTAGTTCAACTCCCTTGTCAGTGTCAAATCATTGAATTTTTTTGTTTCTTCTGCATGTAAGGACACTACATTCTCTCTGCCAAAGTCATCACTTCCTTCTTGAATTTCCCCATCCAGTCTGACCTAGCTTCCTCCTCTTGACTTTCCACTATGTTCTCCTCTACTTTTATTCTCCACAGAGCCCAGCTTGTGCGACTTCCATCTCTTTGGCTACCCCTTTCTTCCTGTCAACTAGCTCTCTTCCTCACTATCATGTCCAGCCTTATTTTTTATTCTTTTTATCCAGTACTTCAAGCTTTTCATCCCACCAGCTCTCACATATATTTCCCTATTTCCCTGAACTGATTCCCCCACTCCCATACCTCTACACTGTGGCCCTCACCATGGCCACAGACTTGGAGACAGCAATGTCCAACATCACCGTGATCTGTATCACTTTATCCTGTATCACCTTCATCCTGAAGGTCATGAGCAGGTTAATAAGTACGCTTCAGGCAGGGCCTCTGTAGTTAGAATGCTGGAGAAAGAATAACTACTAGATGATACTTACTATCAAGACACTAGATAGTGAGCTTCTCCCTCAAATCTGCAGTTCTCCCAAGGAGCTGCAAATCAGAAGGCTTCCAAATAAATCAAGAGAATTTAAAATTCAGGTTCGGGTTAAAGCCAATGCAGCAGGACTAGCTGCCTCCCGAGTGCTTCTTATGTCTCGTGTTACGCTATAGCACCCTATTTCAATTTCCATTTTTGGAAACTCCCAAAAGGCTTTCACAAGTCAAAGAGCAGCAGCCTTTCCTGGGGTCTGATTTATTAACATAAAAGTCAAAATAATTCAAACTGCCCTCAAAATCCCAATATAATTCAAGCAGCCACACCACGACTCCTCCTAACTTCAGTCTTACATTGATCTGTATCTGCTTTGTCCAGCTCTCTCTGGTTCTGAGGATACACAGCAATGAAATACCCACATCTGGCCCAGTCAGCTGACTCAGGCTCACAGGGCTTAGGTTGTGAGGCTGTAAATTTTCTGAGCAGATATTTGGGTTCAAGTGGGAGCCTAAGTTCTGGGACCTGATGAGGGGGTAGGATCCCTGAGCCTGAGCTCCAGCCCCACAGTCGGACCCCTGGTGAGCCTGAGTCAGCGGACTCCGGGCCAGCCATGGCCAGGTCATGGGTCTTTTATTCGAGTGTAGACATCAGCAGGCAAACCCCTCTGCTGCTCCCCAGGTTTCTCAGTCACTCCAAGAACCTTCTGGCCAATGCAGATCTTCTGCAGGCACTACCACAACATCCTCTCCATATTTCCTGTTCCCCACTCTTTCTAGAGACCAGCTGCCTTCTGTCAGGCCCCATAGTGAGGCTCTTAATGAGGCACAAGTGGCATGAACCAGTACTCTGTTAAAAATCCCAGTCTACCCCATAACAGACCACTTGACAAAGTTTATTACAGATTGTGAGGGGCTGACTCCCTGCCACGGTGCCACCAGCTGGCTGTCCTGGGAATTAGCTCTTCATGGATGCCTCTCATTGGATGCCTCTCTAGGTGGTGTTGCCCCATGTTTGTCCTCGTGTCACGGCATCCTCTTCCAGACACCTAGGTGGTGTTGCCTCATGTTTGTCCTCGTGTCACGGCGTCCTCTTCCAGACACCACCCTCTGGCAGTGCCCACACCTGTGTCTGAGCCCCCCTTTCGGGGGTGGTGATGGTTCCCTCTGCTCACATCCCAACGTCCTCTATTTCTCAGAGCACCCTGAGCTCCTCCTTAGGCACTAAAGACGGAGCCCTTACCTGGCCAGAGCTCCCCTAGCCCTGCCCTGCCCTGCCTCCCCAGCACTTATCTGGCTCCGGGGAGCCTCCAGCTTCCTGCAGTCAGGCCCTCACTGCTCTCTTCCCCAGAGCAGCTGTCAGTTCCCCCTTATATAGCTCCCAGCTGGGCCCTCATCAGTTAGACCTGCCTCAGCTGGGGCTTTGCTCCTAGCCGCTGCTCCGGGCTGGGGTTTTGCCCTTAAAGGGCCAGTGCAGGGCAAGCGCCCTGTCTCACAGATACCTTTTTATCTAAATCAGTAAAAAGACACATTTTTATTTTACATGTATCTACACTATATTAAATGCAATTTGTCAAACCAGCTAGTGAAAAAGACCTGTTTTAAAATTAAAAATACTTTAACTTTTAAAAATTAAATTAAATTATCCATACTAATTTAGTATGAAGAATAATATCCAACCTCTTTCTGAGCTCCAAGCACATAAAACGTCTTCCCTTCATATTTCAATTTGCAGACATCAGCCCTAAGAAGAAAAAAAATCTTTAAGTACAGGAAAAAAATTGCAGTGAACACAAGTGATGTGCATTTTCATGCAAATTTAATTGATTCACAAATGTAGAGCAGGCTGTCATGGAACAAAATGCTATTATTTCATCAATTGTGTACTGTTGGTAAATAGTGTAAAATCCATACTGCAAAAGCAAATAATGCACTAATTTTCTTCAGAGTAAAGAATACAGACTTGGAGTGTTCTGCTTTCCACATTTTTGCAAGACTTTAAAGAGTTGGACCAAGGACTTTAGCAAGCAAATGATTAGCACTGAAGAGATTTAGATCCAAAGAGGAATGTGCTACAAGAAAAAATAAACAAACACAATCCTTTGACAGGTATTGCATTTTAATCATAAATATATCATATCAGTGAAAGGACTAATATTTTGCCTTTTTTTTGGCTGTTCAGTTTATCTGAGATGAGCATGTTTTGCTACTTCACAATGAAAGGTTTGGACATAAAGGAAGATGCCTGAAGGTTCAAGATCACTCAAGCAACGTGTGCGCTAGCTACACATCCAAGAATGTTTTCATTTGACTTCAGTTTAGGGAGAAACAGAGGTGGCCACTCTGATTTTTGGCAAGCAAGGGATTCCAGACTGGCCAACTTCTTAGGCTTTTTAGATGGTTCTGTTCCAGTATTCCCTCTTAAGATTTTCCAGCCAGGAGCGGAGTGAGTTTTGACTCGTGAACCAATATTGAGGTCATGTGCACTGGTTTGTATGTGTGCCACTGTGGCACCCAATTTACTAACACACACACACTGCCAGCCAGTGGAGCAGCACCTTCCACCTGCTATGCAGTGTGTCCCATTCCCAACCGCTGGAGCAGACCCTGGCCCCGCTCCCCATGCTGCAGGTCCCATTCATAGCCACCAGAGAATACACACACTCCATGCGGCAGGTCCTGTTCCCGGCCCCAGCCGCCAGAACAGGCCCTAGTGCCCTTTACCTTACGGCAGCCATAGCCACCAGAGCAGGCCTTCTCCCCGCCTCTGCACCACACGGCTGCGGCATGTCCCAGCCCTCCACCCCAGTGGTTCTCTCATCACACCATCTCATCTGGCCCTACCCGTGTGAGTGCAAAACAATACCGCGATGTCTACACTGGCCCTCTGGCGCAAAAGCATTTGCGCAAGAGGGCTTTTGCCCGAACGGGAGCAGCGTAGTATTTCCGCAAGAACACTGACAATCTTACATGAGATCGTCAGAGTTCTTGCGGAAATTCAAGCAGCCAGTGTAGACAGCTGGCAAGTTTTTCCACAAAAGCAGCTGCTTTTGCGGAAAAGCTTGCCAGTCTAGATGCAGCCCTGGAGTTCAAGAGCAGGGGATGGCTGAGGTATAAATGAAAACTCCCCCCATGTTCTCCCCTCCCCCAATATTTTCAGTATATGTGGGGTAGGAATGTTTTACAATTCAATTGGTATGGTGTATTGGGTTTTGGGGTGGCATTTGGTTTGTTTTTATCTTGGAATGAAGCCAGTTATTTTGAGTGGATTTGCTTTTATTAAGCAATTAAACTGATTTAGGAACATTTCTATTTTGTAATGTAGATGATTAGGGAGCTGGAGTTAAATGTTGATAATAAGATGAGACAAATGAATAAAGCATTTTTCCAGGAGACAAATGGTGAAGAATATGAAATGTTAAAAACTTTTTCATCTCTCCCTTTTTCTATCCTCCTTTCTCTTAGTCCTGGGTATGTAGCTATTCAAATTTATGAACACTTGAAATGACTAGGGTTTGGTCCAAGAACATTGGTAGGTCTGGCTACGACAAGAGAATCCCCCATGTGCTCCTTTGGGGCAGCATTAATTCCTTTGCACCAATGCATGATGTAAAAGGAAATAAGCCTGAGCCAGAGACCTAGCTCTGTACCACACCAAATACAATTATGATAACCACCAATAATTCTAATAGAAGCAATGGCCTACAGTGAAATTTGACTGCAGACCTTCTGTATAATCCATTTTTCACATCAGAGCTATTTAAAATGCAAATAAGTGGAGCACAGTGTAATTTCTACGTTATAACATCAGCTACTAAAAAATGGGAGATTTCATTAAAAAGAAGACTGGAAATGCTGGTAAAGGAAGTCCAGTGTCCCTTCACTAATGTTATAGCTTCAGATGTATCCTACAACAGTGAAATACTTGAGATATGGAGCAAGTTGCCTTAAGAATGAAAAAGCACAAGGTCCAAATTTAATTGAATTTCAATGAATCAGCAAATCAAGTAGTCCACAAAATTTCTATCAACGACTCGATAAGGCAAGGAGGGGGTGGTGGAGCACTCTCTATCCCAGCTGCATCTCTGCCTTTTAAGGAGGAGAGGGTGGTGGAGCACTCACTATCCCAGCTGCATCTCTGCCTTTTAAATGTAGTAAGAGTTGCCCACAGCTCTTACTACATTTAAAAGGCAGAGGTGCAGCAGTCGGGATCTGGCGTGAGTGGGGACTGCTTGAATCCCTACTCACCCTGGGTCCCTTTTAAAGGCAGAGGCACAGGAGTCAGGACCCAGCAGGAGCAGGACTGCTTCAGTCCCCACGCGTGCCATTTCCCCTGCTGTGACTCTGTCTCCCCTGCCCCCCTGCAGAGACAGTGCTGGGGGGGAACTGGCTCTTAAACTGGCTCCCCCAGGACTGGCTCCTGCTCCACCCCTCCTTGCTGCCTCTGATATAGGAGGCAGCAAGGCAGAGGAGAAGCGACTATTCGAGTAGTGACTCGACTACCCAATAAGCCTAGGCTTATCGGGTAGTCAACTAGTCGCTTACATCCCTAACGTAGATACTAGAACATTTACCCAGCGTTGCTTGAGTCTTTAATTACTTTTTCTTTGTTTTTAAAAAGTTGAAAATGTACATGATTCATATAAATCCTTGCTCTGGGGTGGGGCTGAGGATTCAGTATGCAGGCTTCCTCCGAGGAGGGAGGATTATTCCAGCCCTCTCTCAGTGCAGCAACTTGGAGCCAGGTGAGAAGCCCCTCTCCATGGCCGCCGCAGCTCCAGCACACACAGCTGGAGGAGGGGTTCATGTCCCCCGGCTGGGGCAGGTCCAGGTTCATCTGCCCGCTGCCTAAACTCCCTAGTCAGAGTGAGGAATGCAGCCAACAGTGCAGTTTCCCCTTGCTCCCTGACGAAGCGGAACAGCTTGTAATATTCGGCTGTGTCTACACTGGCACCCTTTTCCGGAAAAGGGATGCTAATGAGACACCTTTCAAGTAGGAATAAGGGATCTTGCGGGAAAGGCTTTATTTTCCGCAAGATCCCGTCTAGACTGGCGCTTCTCTCCGGCAAAACCCCGAGCCGGAAAAAAGCGGCAGGCACGGTCCTGCGGGGGATATTTAAATCCCCCGCAGCATTTGCAATTCTGAAGTGGCTCATTAGCATCCCTTTTCCGGAAAAGGGAGCCAATGCAGACACAGCCTTCCTGTGTGACTCTGGGGGAAGAAGCTTCAGCCCTAGCTGGCCTCCCAAAAGGGTGCCTGAGGATGGGACACCGAGGGCTAGAGCAGGGGTACTCCCAACCAGCCCCTTTCACCTTTCTGGTGATTCTCTTTTCTGTGTAGTTTTAAGAGAAGCAATCCCATTCCAGGCATAGACAGAGACACAGACAAACTCTCTCAAATACATAGTATATACCTATCCCTTTCTCTACCACTGTTCCATATTGCCCCAATGGAGTTCTCTCTGGTCCCTTGCTGCCCCCCTGTTGTCATTATACAATACAACTGTCCCTGCTAGCAGAGCCCTCCCTTTCCGTTTTATGAGAAACAATTGCATCTCAGGCACATCCCATTGTCCTGGTACAACCTGACCCTTACCTCGCTTTAAGTTATGATAAGAGGAAGCTATATACCAAGTATGATGGTTCTAGCTCTTACTATTTAGGAGTTCTTGAACAAACAGACTCAGACAGACAGACACAGGATGAACCTCTGTAATCCGGGACTCCTTGGTCCAGCAACATCTGTTGTCCAGCAGGACCATGGATGTTCCAGGACCAGAGTGTCCCAGTGGAGGGCTGGCGGCTGCACTCCCCGGCATGTTGCATCTGGGCAGCCAGGCACAATCCAGCAGTCTGCCCGGCAGAGCCAGGAGCTTAGCGCATTGCAGCGGGGATGCCTGATGGGGCCAGGAGCCCAGCATGGAAGGAGCTTGGCTGGAGCTGGGCTTCCCAGCATAGCAGAGAGGGAGGTGGGGAGACCAGCAGGGCAGTTAGGCTGGTGGCAAGGGAGAGTCAGCCAGGAGGACAGCGGCTGGTCCAGGGCTAGGGGAGCTGGTAGTAGGGGAGGCAGATATGACCTCCCGTGGTTTGACAAATCCCTCATCCTGGACTGGTCGGGTCCTGACAGCGCCGGACCAGGGAGGTCCAACTTGTTTATAGTAGATCTGCAAAGGAATGATAATTTATAAACATAAAATCCCACCTCCTCTCCCGCTTTAAGTACTTTTAAAAAACATCCAATTTTTCCTTTTCGTATTTGAATGAGGAAGTGATGGCACATTCAAGACTCAAACACAATGTGGTAGGAACTGTGAAAGCTTCCCATGAAACCACATGGGTGACCTCCAACGTCACAGCTATTCAATTTTTGAACATCTCTGTCAATTAGTTTGACTTGACCAAGTTTGTCATGTGGACTAATTTCCAGTAAGAAGAAGAATGAAACCACCAGTTTCTTTTTCATATGTCATCTAAAAATTCTTGAAAAATAAATAAGAAAGGGCAAAAGAAGTGAATTTTCAATATTCCACCTATCACTTCCTTAAAAGAATTAGAAGGGAAAACACTAAAGGGCAAAAGAAGTGAATCTTCAATATTCCACCTATCGGTTCCTTAAAAGAATTAGAAGGGAAAACACAATTAAAATAATCATAGAATCATAGGGCTGGAAGAGACTTCAGGAGGTCATCGAGTCCAGCCCCCTGCCCAAAGCAGGACCAATCCCAAATAAATCAATAATTGTATATAATAATCTAATGACAGCTGATATGCTTACCATTTTAACAAATGAATTCTTTTATTACCCTGGAAAACTACAAAGCCTGTTGCTGTGAATCCTAAAAAAGTAGTGGTACCAGTTGAATCCTTAAAATAAGAGAGAAAAACACAGATTAAAGCTATTTGTTTAGATTACCCCCCTCCCACCACCACCACATTATACATAACATTCATTATTGATGTATCCTCCCCCCCACCACCATATTATACATAACATTCATTATTGATGTAATATAAATTCTTAGCCCATAATAGTAAAAATTTGGTATCTGTTTTTCTTAGGTCTACATCTTGTGTGTCAACTAAACTGTTCTCAACATCTAAGTTCAATCTTTAGCAATAAAAAGTCTTGTTTCTTACTATTTCACAAGATAAAACTGTCTTATGCTTTTTTTTTCTCCATATATAGATTTTGGCACATGGTAGCACTTAAAGGTTTATTCATTTTTATGAATACTCCTCCATATATAGATTTTGGCACATGGTTGCACTTTAAAGGTTTATTCATTTTTATGAATACATACAGAAATAGTCCCGTTTCATATCAAAATGCTCACCAATATAAGCATGGGATTCTTCATTTTGACTATATGTGGTATTCCCATCTAATGTCTTTCAGCCTCAACATACATAGGAATAAATTCTCTCATGTCGTTTCCAATACTTCACAATATCATCTGTGCTGGAAATATTCCCACAAAACAGCCTTTCTTGCTGTATTTAGGTATTTCCAATTTTGGTGGAAATCAGAAGTGCAAAGATAAAGGGTGTTTTTTTTAAATCAGTAAACCAAACTTTTTTGAATTCCACAAAGAAAAAAGTTGGATTCAAGTTTTTTGAGCAAAAGTTTATGTCCATTCATGTTTTACAGTAACCAGCTTTCCTATGCCTATTTCAAAACTTTCACTTGTCTGGAATAATCTGCCTTGCTATTCTATAAGCTTTATTTCAAAACATTATATAAATAAATAAATAAAAGGATAAATAAAAGAATTTTTTAAGGTTCCTGTGGAAGATAAGGATAAATATAAGAATTTTTTAAGGTTCCTGTGGAAGATAAAAGCAAAAACATAAAGGGGAATAGTTTCAAATGTAAGTACCCTACTGTAGTTACTATTAAAAAGTCTATAATTATCATACAATGACACCTGAAATAATGCAGTATGGTTCTCATCAAAAGTTCACTGAAATAAAGGGAAGTCTTTTTATGAACATCAGTGTGCTCTGGATTAGGTCCCATATCTAATTTTATAGAAATAACTGTAATTATGGAGATACAATCTTGGATAAGAGATGACTGTTTAAATGGGATCAACAGGTCACTTAATTCACTTCCTAAAAATGCTAGAATACAGTATTGTTGAAATATAAGAATGCAAATTATCAATTAGAGCGGCATCAAAATGGGTAACCTTAAAAGCAAAGTATGAAGACTATGATTTGTATATTTTGCTGCTGCAACTGAAACACTTGTTTTTTAAATGTCAGCCTAGAAATCCTAACAACTGGTTGTGGCTTCTGGCTAACAGTAACATATTGTTACTGAAATTCTTAGAAACTCTAGATGAGGAATACTTCAGATTATTTGTTTAACTATAGTTTGTCAGGAATTACATGTGGAAACCCAGTAAATCCCTCATGATATTGCATTATGGGAGAGTTTTGAACAGCCATGAAATGATCAGTTATCAAAATTTTGCCTTAGTACCTTTAACAAAATATATTCTACCTAGTATGTTTATGTAAGCTGTTATTTTTTGTTGACTAGAAACAGTTGTGAGCAATAACTGTGTTGTAAGAGGACAGCACGGCACTACAAGTTGTTCACAGTGTTGGGATAGAATTACAATACGTATGACCTGCCAGGACCCCAAAGAAAAAGTCCTCACACTGACACAGCATGCTAGAGTGTCATACTGTGAAATACTGCCTATGCAAGGCACATGGGTGTTTGTCAATCAACATTTTACAAAGCTGCACAACATCTCTCTTGCATTTTCTTGGGAGGCTCTTTCAGAAATGTTTTCCTACACATGGCTGGATAAATATGGGACTACTTCACTGAATCTGATGGTCTTATTAACTTGTAAAATAGTAATTTATTTGAAAACCCTGAACGATTACCTTGCAAGGATGGGGATCAACACCATAGGTTTCCAAAGAATGTGCTTTCAGTAGTAAATTAAATTCAGCAACAGCTGGGCTCTGCCCTCTGAAATTACACAAGACAAATGTAGCAGTTTAACAAAAACACAAGTAAAAGGTATAAGAGTACAGTCATCAAAATCAAAGAAAGAAAGAAAAGACCTACTAACTCATGCACCATTTCAACCATATAGTATTTAGAAAGAGGGAACAAGGAGATCTTTCATGTGATTTCTGCTGGTGCTGTCTTAATGCCTAATCATTTCTGATTAAGTTTTGATGCTTTCTGCATACCGCCAGGTCTCAAGTGATCTGTGCAGTTAATCAGGGTTATCAAGTATCCATCAAATATTTGTTATCTTCTGATGTATGCTCAAGTTCAGTCTTACCATGAAATAAACCTCAGCATCTGTTCTTTTCACACGCACCTTCCCTAACTCATTTAAGAGGATTGTCCAGATTAAGGTATTCTTTCCCACTCAGGATATCGACAAAGCAATCATAAATCAACAAACTACCAAGACATTCCTAATTATAGGAGAACCTACCACCACCATAGTGTAGTATCTGCCAGCATTTTCATTATATGCCTTTATTTGTAGGAGGAAGTTCAAAATCAGTCACCAGTATTAACTAAAGCCCAAAACAGGGACTGGAAAGTCTCAACCCTGAAGCAAGCTCTTCTAGTTGGTTTTTTTTTCAACTCCCTCAGTGA